TATATAAAAAATAATAATTTATTCGGAATTGCGATTGCAGACATCACCAAAGATTCGAAAGATTTACAATTGACAAATTTTATTTTGGGAATTCAACCAAATAAGCCGGGAGAAACTGGAACTTCAGGCATTCCTCCATCTCCGTCCAATACAGCTGCAATAGTGGGTGGCGTATTAAGTTCTATTATTTTCGTTAGCGTATTAATAGCTAGTGGCATCATATTGTATCGAAGAAGACACGAAGCAAAAATGTCTAATCCACTCATAGATACAAATAATCAAGCTTGCTCGGATACAAATCCTCAAGTTTACTCTGATATAAATCGTCAGGTTCGTCCGGATACAAATAATCGGATTTTCTCGGATACAAATCATAAAGCCTTCTAATTATTAAAATGGTATGCTTTAAGATTTACACTATTAAATAAGTGTCCAGCACGGAACTGGCTTCGTATGAGACCAACTTCCTCTATAATTAATCACCTTAATAACGAACTCTAGATATAACGAAATGTAAAATTTTAAACTTGTACTAGTTCGTTATCTTCGATATAGAAAATGTATACCTTTAAAAAAGAGTAATCTTATATAGCGAATTTTTTTCTCCAAAACCATAGGTTCACTATGTATGCTTTTGCAATACAAATTCAATAAAATTTCTTTCTGCTACGATGATTACATGTAAAGTTGTTAGTGAAATTACATTAGTGGTAAAATCGATGTTGAATGTGAAATTTAGTGAAATTATTCTCATCAGCATCTCTATTCATGTGTATATTACATTAACTAGCGTTTCTGGATCTTCTATATGTGTATGTAGCTGTAGCTTATTTTTTCGGAATTTTTGCAAATTTAAGTGGCAATAATGAAAAGTCATAAAAATCCTGGTTACCTAAAATTACTGTCCAGAGCGAAACGGCGGGCATTAAATTTCTAGCAAAAGATAAGTATCAATCAGATAGTTGGAGAAAAATGGCATAGAGAAAGAAAATTCTTGAAAAACTATTTTACAATAAGGTGGTAGGCTGATAGTAGGGATGATAAAAAAAAAACGGGTTAACCAGTTTTTTAAACATTTTTTAATGTTGTAAACCTTTTTTTTAAAACATCGAAGTCTGAGATAAAATTTTGCCGAAACTGAAAATATTAATTAATTTTAATTGTCAACTGAGAAAATTTTTTTTGAAAAAAGGTGATGTATATAATTTCGAATTTATTATATGTGAAATAATAATAATAATAAAAATAATAAATGACTTTTTTAATTGGTAGACTAAACCAACACACTCTTAGCAATAATTACATTTTTGATGGTGTTTTTCGACCATGTTTATCAGGTTCAACAACATTGTAAAGTTTAACCGGATTTCTTTTAAAGGGGTCTTTCGCGAATATGAGAAATTGATGAATTTTTTTGAATGTTAATACACACTCCTGGGACCGAACTTTAATGGTGTGCACTTAGAAACAATAAGAAAAAGTGCATTTATGTAAATATTTGGGCCCGAATTTAAGTGTGCATTTAGAGAGTGTGTGCATTTATAGAGGGTGCTCTTATGGTAATCTAGTAGGTTAGTGATGTCAGTTTTGTGTAACCGAGCTTTTATTCTAGACTTCGATCCGACGATTCAGATTTGGCACTAATACAAACGTAATACAAGTTAACCAATATCATAACAAAATTACGATCTGAGAAACTTTGCTTAGTATATTGGTTAGTGGGTTATTGGTAAAATTCACAAAAATTTTGTAATTTTTGAGTATAATTAATTAAGTCCAGAAGCTCGTATTACACAAAATGGGAAATTTTTGAACATCACTAACCTACTAGATCATTCGAACTAATAACTTTGTAATTATATAATCAAATAATCCGTGCAATAATATCTCCACTACACTACTACAGTTGGTTTGATAATTAGAATTTTTAAAAATCATAATTTTTATTACAGTAATAAAATTAAATATGTAGTTTGCGAAACATTTCTTTTTTTTAATATTAAGGTAAGGTCTTACCTCAAATCTTAATTAGTAGTAATATTAATTGTATAATATACATTGTAGAGTTGTTGGTATATTATTATCTATTACATATTATTAAAAATAAGAGCTTAGACAATTATCTGTGACCTAAACCTACCAAAGCTTTTGATGTCTCACTTACTAGTTAATTTAGATTTTTGATAATACAGCCAACAATATTAATTACCTTTATATATTCTTCTATATTCTACAATCTATTATTACACAACTCTCAAATTGGTCTGTCAAGTATTCACTTCTTATAAGCTTCTATCTTTGTTCTGGTAGTATTACTTATACAGATATTTTGAATTAACTATTCATATTTTTTTTTTGTGCTATAATACAGGATACCTAATACGTAGTATATATCTTAAGTCAGGATTCCGCTGTTACTATTGGGTTTTTCTTTAATGAGATATATTAGTTTTTTTATTGTTGATAAAGTTTTTTACTTATATCTTAAACTAATACTACCAATATATCTCAACTCAGGTTCTACTACTGTTACTATATATCATTTTTATTTTCATTACCGAAATTAATCTGATTCTTTTTTAGGTAACTATGTAAGAGAAATCAGGACATAATTTTAAATTGTTTGAAGCAGAAATATTTTGTTATATATTCATTATTATAAATGCCATATGGTGTCTAACAGTATATTCATTACAATATTGGAAGTTTAGAAGATGAGTTTAAAATCCATTTGGTGACCGTGTGCTAATATGCATATTATAATAACGATCTTATTATAGCCTATATTATATTTGATAATTTATAGTTTCCTGGGCAATAATAATATATATATATTTTACTAGCACACACCACAGGTCTACTTGAAGAATGGTTTTTGGACGAGTCCAAGAATTATGTGTATCGAATTTTTGATGATTTGATTTCCATAAATTAGCCAATCATAAATTTCTTATGAATTATTACACCATTTAACTGTGCGCACTTATTTATGTGGTACAAATCCAAAAAGAAAACGAGTGTTTAAACGCACGTCTGGAATGTGTGCCAGGTTGTGGCGCAGCAAAATTTCTTTTAAAGTTTGTTAAAGTTAGGGTTAGTGTTTAAAATAAGGTTAGAGGTTAGATTATTATAAGTAATACCATCAAGGAAACTTTTTGTTAAAGCATTGAAGATGGTTTCTTATACAGAATTTCGAGAAATAAGTGATTTTTGACAAAACAACCGAAATTTGATTCGTAGTTTAAGCAATATGCGCTATGGTCGCGTCACAAACCTGGCACACATTTCGGGCACTAATTAAAGCGACAGGAATGAAATGTTACATGCAATGATGGATAATTTATTAATGTCGATATAGCTTTTAATTCCTAATTCACGCGCCGAATATAAGATTCTCCGTAATAGTAGACCCTTGCCTACTAGTAGGGTTGTTAATGGAGTGGCATACTCTGGAGCCACTCCGGAGTGAGCCCAACCCAAGTTGGAGTGAGTTAAAGATATGCCTAAAAATCTGAAGTGAACTGGAGCAGCTCTAAGCAAGCCTGGAGTGGCTCCCAACCCAAGCTGGAGTGGGTTGAGGAGTTGCTTAACCCAACCCAACCCAACCCAATCCATTAACAACCCTACCTACTAGAACCAAAATATGAATGCTCTTTAAAATTTTTCTTTTAATATTCTCAACCACATACTATACTGTATGTGCTATACCCGAGCCCTTTATCCGAAAATTTACGGTATTTCTAGGCTAAATTTCCGTTTTAAATTTGTATCACTCGCAAATAGACCTCTCTAAATGCATTCTCCTAAATGCAACATCTCTCTAAAATGCAATCTTTAATTATGGTCAAATATGTATTAGACTCCTGTAATGATTTTTTTTTTATTGCAAGTTGTCAAAAGTTTGACCCTCATGAATTGCATTTATGGAGGTCTGACTGTCTAACCTTGTGTTTCATTCCATCTAACTTTTCTGTGACACTCCATCAATAATTAAATATTTATATATTATGCTCATTTGCAGCTTTTTTTCTTAAAAAAAGGAACTAATATTGAACCATTTTAATACTGATTATTTTTTTTTAATGTGCATATTACCCCATATATTCATGCTTGATTTTTTATGTAAACTCTATATTTAAAATTTTTTATGTCATTATAAAAATATGAAAATTCGTTCTTTTTTACCACCCTATAAATTCATGTTACTTTTTTTATATACCTTTTTTATATTTGTGTCGAGAAAAAAGGTATTAAGTCAGGATATATGCAACCTATCTCCAACTAAACCAAATAAACTTATCGGATATTATCCCGCTTATAAACTTAATTCAAAACCGGGGGTAGATTTTAATATCAGTCCATCAATTAATTACTTAAACTATATTGGTATGCGAAATTAAAGGTTTAAGCCTGTTTATTTAATTATAATTAAGTTTTAATAAGTTATTTAATATTTATAGCCTTTGGTCCGAATGACCTTGTTTATAATGGTGCTGATGGAGGCCCATCTAAATTTTTTGACACTTCCAAATTTTCTGAACTGTCAAACTATATACGCAACAATAGTCCAAAGCCTAAGGTAAGTAATGAATGTTAAATATACATTAAAAGGCTTATTATTAGTATATAGTAATTTTAAATTGTTTATTTTATAGATTATTCTATCAGTCTTGTTACCAACTGATGGGAATAATTTAACTCAATTCTTTAATAAACAGTCTGGTGATCCGGATCAGGGTTGGTATAATCCGAATAGCACACAAAATAAGAAATTTATTGAGGACTTAATTACTATTGTTAAAAAGTTTAACTTTGATGGAGTAGGATTAACTTATTTTATTTTACTGTATATTGTCTACATTGTTATTTGGTGTCGCCAAACGAAAACCACTAATTGTTGGATTTCGGATTTAACACTTAATGGAGTGTGGCTTATTAGCTTTGAATAAAAATATATAATTACATCATTACATCTTTTATCATATTAAAATCGATGCTTAAATCGATATCATTAAATTGGATTTTTTAAAGTCCGGTAAGCCTGTATCCTATGAAGTGGAATATCCGAAAATAAATCCCTGGCGGCACCTATTTATGAAATAACTAATTAATTACTTTCTATTAACTTGGTAGATTGACATTGATTATCCCTTTAAATTTCCGTGCTATCCTTCAATAGGATTCAATGATTCGAATTTTCTAAGTTTCCTAAGTGCCATATCAGATCAATTAGACGAGGATAAGAATTTAACAGTTACAGCAGGCCAATATCCTATAAAGGGCTTCAATTCCAATATCATCGATTTTGTAAATATTCAGGTAAAAGTTAGCTTTTTTTGTTTTCACATGGCAAGTGATATTAGAAATATTTATCTATTTATAAAATTTTAGGCATTTCATCTTAATATAAATAGCGTGAATACAAGTGCTGGATTAGACGGAATCACACAAATTTTGAATTCTTGGAATATTACAGATAAATCAAAATTTGCTTTAAGCGTTGAATTTGGAGGAATTGTCGAAATTGTTTCCTCCAAGAATATTACTTCTGACATTGAGAGTCAACAATTTCAACTAGTAAATGGCACAAATTTTACTTTCACGTTATCCAATGTATCAATTTCAGATCAATGTAATCGTTCATCATATGCATATTTGTCATGGGAAAATTTAAATAATTCATTATTATCACCATCCTCTTGTGCTGCAAATTTAACTTCTTCATCGTCAGCATGGACCTATGGCTTTGCTAAAAATGCGAAACAACCATATCTTTACCACCAAAATTCGTCTAATCAGCCTAGCCTTAATCCGTTTGGTTCATCTAATTCGTCTAATGCGTCTTCAATATACTACGTTATTTTCTATGAAGATTATCAATCGTTAAATGCTAAAATCGACTATATAAAAAACAATAGTTTATTCGGAATTGCTATTACAGATATCAGCAAAGATTCACAATTGATAGACTTCGTTATAGGAAGTCGGCCAACTCAGCCTGGAAAAAGTACACCTTCAGGTACCCCATCATCTATATCTTCATCTACATCTTCAGCTAATATAGGTGCAATATTAGGTTCTATTGTTTTTGTTAGCGCATTAATAGCTATTGGCATCATATTGTATCGAAGAAGACACGGAGCAAAAATGTCTAATCCACTCATAGATACAAATAATCAAGCTTGCTCGGATACAAATCCACAGGTTTACTCTGATATAAATCGTCAGATTCGTCCAGATACAAATAATCGGATTTTCTCAGATACAAATCATAAAGTCTTCTAATTATTAAAATGGCATGCTTTAAGAAGATCTATACTATTAAATAAGTGTCCAGCACGGGATTGGCTACGTATGAGACAAACTTCTTCTATAATTAATCACCTTAATAATGAACTCTAGATATAACGAACTGAAAAATTTTAAACTTTGTACTAGTTCGTTATATTCGGTATAGAAAATGTATACCCTTAATCTTATATAGCGATTTTTTTTCCTCCAAACCATATGTTCACTATGTATGCTTTTGCAAACAAATTCAATAAATTTTCTTTCTGTTACAATGTTTACATGTAAAGTTGTTTGTGAAATTACATTAGTGGTAAAGAATTTCATTATTATTGATAAAATCGATGTTGAATGTGAAATTATTTTCATTAGCATCTCTATTCATATATATATTACATTAACTAGCATTTCTGGATCTTTTATATGTGTATGTAGCTGTAGCTTATTTTTTTCGGAATCTAAGTGGCAATAATGAAAATCCATAAAATCATGGATACCTAAAATTACTGTCCAAAGCGGAAACGGCGGACACTTTATTTCTAGCAAAAGATAAGTACCAATCGGATAGTTAGAGAAAAATGGCATAAAGAAAGAAAATTTCTTGAAAAACGATTTTACTATAAGGTGGTATGCTGGTAGAGGGATAAAAAAACGGGTTAAACAGTTTTTATTGTTTTAAACTTTTTTTAAAACATCGAAGTCTGAGATGAAATTTTGCCGAAACTGTCAATATTAATTAATTTTAATCGTCAACTGATAAAAAATTTTTTTTAAAAAAGGCAGTGCATATAATTTCGAATTTATTATATGTGAAATAATAATAATAATAAATCACTTTTTTAATTGGTAAACTGAATCAACACAGTCTTAGCAATAATTACATTTCTGGTGATGCTTTTCGCAATGTTTATGAAGTTCAACAACGATTGTAAAGTTTAACCGGATTTCTTTTAAGAGTCTTTCGCGAATATGAGAAATTGATGAATTTTTTGAATGTTAATACACTAAAACCTCCATAACTGCTCTTAGGACCGAACTTCAATGATGTGCACTTAGAGAACAATTAGGTTAGTGATGTCCAAAAAATGTTCCAATTCGTGTAACCGAGCTTCTATACTTCGATCCGACGATTCAGATTCGGCACTAATACGAGCGTAATACGTACAAGCTAACTGATATTATAGCAAAATTACGATCAGAGCAACTTTACTTAGTATATTGGTTAGTGGATTATTAGTAAAATTCACCAAAATTTTGTAATTTTTGAGTATAATTAATTAAGTCCAGAAGCTCGGATTACACAAAATAGGATCACTAACTTACTATATCATTCGAACTAATAACTTATGTAATCAAATAATCCTTGCAATAATATCCCTTCTAAATTATCACAGTTTTATAATTAGAATTTTTAAAAATCATAATTTTTATTACAGTAATAAAATTAGGCATGTAGTTTGTAAAACTTTTTTTTTTTTTAATGTTAAGATCTCAAATCTTTATCAGTAGTATTATTAATTGTACAATATGCATTGTAGAGTTGTTGGTATATGATTATCTATTACATATTATTAAGAATAAGGGCTTAGATAATATCTGTGACCTAAACCTACCAAAGTTTTTTGATGTATTACTTACTAGTTAATTTGGATTTTTGGTGATACAGCCAACAATATTAATTATCTTTATATATTCTTCTATATCCTACAATCTATTATTACACAACTCCCAAATTGATCTATCAGGTATTCACTCTTATAAGCTCTTATCTTTGGTTAACCTGTTACAATGTTCTAGTGATATTACTTATACAGATATTTTTAATTAACTATTCATATTTTGTATTATAATACAGGATCTTAAGTCAAAGATCCTGCTGTCACTATTGAGTTTCTCTTTAATGAGATATATTAGTATTTTTATTGTTGATAAAGTTTTTTACTTATATCTTCAACTAGTACTACAATATATATCTCAACTCAGGTTCTAATACTGTTACTTTATATTATTTTTATTTTCATTAACGAAATTAATCTGATTCTTTTTTAGATAACTATGTAAGAGAAATCAGGACATAATTTAAATTGTTTGAAGCAGGAATATTCGGTTATATTTTCAGGAAATATTCATTATTATAAATGTCATACGGTACCTAACAGTATTCATTACAATATCGGAAATTTAGAGGATGAGTTTAACATACATTTGGTGACTGTGTGCTAATATGTATATTATAATAACAACCTTCTATAAATTCTAGTTTCCCGGGCAATAGCAACATGTTAATAATAATATTTTTTTACTAGCACACGCCGCAGGTCTACTCCATGAATGGTTTTGGACGAGTCCAAGAAATTATGGTTTGATTGATTGATAATCTCGTTTAATATCCATAAATTAACCAATCATAAATTTCTTATGAATTATTACACCATTGAACTGTGCGCACTTATTTATGTGGTACAAACCTAAAAAGAAAATGTGTGTTTTAAACGCATGTCTGAAATGTGTGCCAGGTTGTGCGCAGCAAAAATTCTTTAGAGTAGGGCTAGTGTTTAGAATATGGCCAGAGGTTAGGTGATTATAAAGTAAAATCATCAAGGAAAACTTTTGTTAATAATGATTTTTGACAAAACGAACGAATTTTCCTGATCGAGTTACGTTACATCTGATCTTAAAATCTGATTTGTAGTTTAGGCAATATGCGCTATAGTCGCGTCACAAACCTGGCACACATTTCAGATGTGCTGTCTTAGAGCACTAATTAAAGTGACGGGAATGAAATGTTACATGCAATGATGGATAATTTATTCCTATCGATATAGCTTTTAATTCCTAATTCACGCGTCGAATATAAGATTCTCCGTAATAGTAGACCATTGCCTACTAGTAGGGTTGTTAATGGAGTGGCATACTCCGGAGCCACTTCGGAGTGAGCCCAACCCAAGTTGGAGTGGATAAAGATATGCCTAAAAATTTGGAGCAGCTCTAAGCAAGCCTGGAGTGGCTCCGGAGTGAGCCCAACTCAAGCTGGAGTGGGTTGAGGAGTTGCTTAACCCAACCCAACCCATTAACAACCCTACCTACTAGAACCAAAATATGCATGCTCTTTATAATTTTTCTTTTAATATTCTCAACCACATACTATATGTACTATATCCGAGTCCTTTATCTGGCAATTTATGGTATTTCTAAGTTAAATTTCCTTTTTAAATTTGTATCCCTCGCAAATAGACCTCTCTAAAATGTAATCTTTTAATACTGATTTTTTTTTTTCATATGCATATTACCCCATATGTTGTTTCATCTAAAGTAGCGCTAAAATTAAGCCCCTGAAATTAGATCCTCATGTACGCATTTAGTTATAATTTTAGCCAGGGCGCTACTTTGGATATACTGTATAAAGTGGCTACGTACTTTAGATAAATCGCTACTTCAGATGCGACATATTCATGCTTGATTTTTTATGTAAATTCATGTTACTTTTTTTATATTTGTGTCGAGAAATAGGTATTAAGTCAGAATCTATGCAACCTATCTCCAACTAAACCAAATAAACTTATTGGATATTATCCGCTTATAAACTTAATTCAAAACCGAGGGCAGACTTTACTGTCAGTCCATCAATCGATTACTTAAACTATATTGGTATACGAAATTAAAGCTTTAAGTCTATTTATCTAATTATAATTAAATTTAATAAGTTATTTAATATCTATAGCCTTTGTCCGAATGACCTTGTTAATAATGCCGTTAATGATGTCCCATCTAAATTTTTTGGTTACGTGACAATTCCCCGAAAGTTATTTCCCCACCAACTTGCTTCCCCGACACCATAATACCAACATGATATTTCATCTACAGCACATTTTTTCGACAAGACATATATTTGACATTACATGTTTTCAACAATCCTTTTCTTAGACAAGATATTTTCCCGAA